GGGGGTGTATTTCAGTGCTGCGGCGCCGTTGCACCGGGTGGGGAATCAGGAGAGAAGATTCAGCAGCAGGACCCCGCCTGGCCCTGGTGCCACCTCCACCGCGCGGAGGCTGCTGTGCATTTGGCCGTGGTTAGATCTGCACTGATGCCTGCGAAGGTCCCCGAACCCAATTTTATCTGGGCGCAGATGGACTCGGAAGCACAGCCCTTCATGACCATCTGCACTGGATTTCCACCTGCGGAGGGAGGGGACAGGAAGTTGTCAGGGGAGCAGCTCCACTCCTTGAGCTGGACTAGGAGACAATGGTCCCCCCAGTCCTCACGGGCCCCTTCAGACTCCCCCATAGCCTCTATCTCGCCACTCCTCGCCCCCCCCCCCCCCACCCACACACACAGCCTGTCTGGCCCTGGATGGCCTCCCCCTTCTCCTCTGCACTGACGCAGGCTCGCTGTGTGTCCTTGAACAAGTCACTGGGAGCCCCGATCTGGAGCCTATTGGAGCTAGCCAGTATTAGCTGCACCACTCATCTAGCAAAGCAGCAGCTCCGTGCTGGTGGCAGCGCTGGGATCTCTAATAAGTGTGGCTTCATAGTGATTTAAGGCATCATGACAGGACTCTGCAAAACTACATTCTATTCCCAGCCCTGACACAGCCTTCCTGTGTGACCTTGGGCAAGTCACGGCACCGCTCTGTTCCTCAGTTTCCCCCAACTTTAAAATGCGAAGAACGATCCTTATTTTGCCTGTTCTGATTGCAGCCTCTTTGGGGGGCAGGAACTGTATCCTGCTGAGAGTCCTTCAGCATCTGACAGAAAAGGGGACCCCCATGTGGGTCGGGGATCTGTGAAGCCCCTGGCACGACAGGGGCTCTCTAGACTAAGTCAGTCCTACCACAAAGAGCTTAGAGACTAAACTATTCACAGGTAATGGACGGGAGGAGAACCAGACACAAAGGGAGGGAAAGACACTAGCCCAAGGTCACACCGGAGCCCAGCACTGGGAATAGGACCCAGGTGTCCTGATCTGCAGCTGATACCTTTCCCTAGCGGCCCCCACCCAGCATCTCGCTTCTGCCCGACGGGGGATAAAACAACAAAGGAAAAATAACCCCAGAAGAAATGAACTGAGGTTACCAGTTGTTAGGGTCTCGACGATGTTGACACATCGGGTCTCGTCTCCAGTGCACTGTGTGGTCTTCTCACTGCACTGATCAGTAAACACAGCAACGCAGGCTGGGCAGTGCCGGCCGTTGGGTTTGGTGTCAGCCGGGGGCACTGGGAAGAAGCGGAGTAACGCAGTCAGCTCGGGGTACGAGCCCCAGGCGGCGTCGGGGCAGGGAGAGCAGCTGGGGGCTGCACAGCTCAGCCCTGGGCGCCCCTGCAGGGGGAGCTGTAGCTCCGGGGACACCGGGGGCAGCAGGGGCAGGGGAGAGGTTTGCAGAAGGGAGCCCTGGATCCCGCCCCGGGTGGGGTCAGCTGGGTTCACACCTGGTGAGCTCCACCCACTAAACTCCACCCACCCAGGATCTGAGAGTTATTCCATGGGGCGCCCCTTGCAGGGCAGGAGGACCAGTCTGAGGAAGTTAATGTGGGGCAGGAGGTGCAGGGGATGGGGAAGGATAAGCGGAGCTGGGGAGAGGTACCTGTAATGGTGCTTGTTCTGCAGGTATCTCCCAAGCAGCAGGCAAAGCTTGTCTGTGTTCTCATTCCCTGCCCAAAATTCACAGAGACGGGGCCGGCTTTACATTGACTCGATGGCATACAGCCCTTGAGAATGCTCTGGGTCTTAATTCCCGCTGCACAGGGGGAGAAAACGGAGATTTATTCCCCTTCCACTTCCACCCCATTGATGCCCTCTTCATAACACTGGCCCTGTGCCATTAGCCTTCCTCTACCCATGGGGAAACTGAGGCATGAAGAGGGGAACGTGAGTCAGCCGCGGTCCCACAGGGCTAGACAAAGCGATTTCAGCACCTAAATCCACCATTTATAACCTCCAGTTCAGAGGCGACACATGGGATGGGGGGCGGTAGGCCTGGGTTTGCTGGCCCCGCTCGGTCACATGGTGCGGCCGGGTCCACTCCCTGCACAGCAGCTGCTCCCGCGGGGAGGAGCAGCAGCAAACAGGTGAGAGCTGAAGGCGGGGGCTGCAGAGGGGAAGGCGGGGGCGTTTGGAGGGACCATGACTCAAGCTATAGTGAGGACGAAAATTTAAATCGCGTCTCCCCCACACAATCAGCCGGCACCAATTGTCTGTGCTCCAGCTCCGCACTCAGCTGCCGCGTAACCCTGGGGGCCCCGAATCTCCTGCCCATAAAGTCCTTTCATTGCCAAAGTTTCCAACAGGGGGTACGTGCCGGGCCGCCGAGATCCCAATGCCGTGTGTCCCGCTCACCCCTTAGCCGCAGTGGGATTCCCAGACTAGGCGTTCCCCTGCCGATATCACCTGCGGGGCCTGATCCAGGAGACGCCCTCGGAGCACCCCTACCGGATCAGGCCCTGCACAAAGCCCAGTCAGGGGAGGAGTTGTGGGTGGGGAGTGGCCCCCCGTGAACCCAGGAGCTCAGTGGGTCAGACGTTCCCCATGGACATGGGGGGAATCAGGGTCCAGGGAATGTTTAACTATTTCATACAACGTGGGGTGGCTTCAAAGGGGGAGACAGAGAGACCCACCCGGACCCAGGGGGCCAGACACGACCATAGGACGAGAGAGACCTGGGTTGAAGTCGCCAGCCCAATTCGGGCCAAGTGGGGATTTGAACTTGGCTCCCCCAGCTGAGTTCCCAGCCACTGGGGTCTCCTGGTAGCTCCTCCTCCACAGCCATCATTCACAAGGGAGGGCTGACCCGGTCCAGATGCTGGACTCCCGGCGAGGGGTTCCCAGACATGGGTCCCAAGTAGAGCTGGGCACCTCTGTGCAGCCGGGACTGAGGGGCCAAACAGGCCTTATGCCACACCCCTCTCCTCGGCATTTCCTATTGGCTGGCTTAGGCGGCTGTCATAAGAACATAAGAACGGCCGTACCGGGTCAAACCAAAGGTCCATCTAGCCCAGTATCTGTCTACTGACAGTGACCAATGCCAGGTGTCCCAGAGGGAGTGAACCTAACAGGCAATGATCAAGTGATCTCTCTCCTGCCATCCATCTCCACCCTCTGACAAACAGAGGCTAGGGACACCATTCCTTACCCGTCCTGGCTAATAGCCATTAATGGACTTAACCTCCATGAATTTATCCAGTTCTCTTTTAAACGCTGTTATAGTCCTAGCCTTCACAACCTCCTCAGGCAAGGAGTTCCACAAGTTGACTGTGCGCTGTGTGAAGAACTTCCTTGTATTTGTTTTAAACCTGCTGCCTATTAATTTCATTTGGTGACCCCTAGTTCTTGTATTATGGGAACAAGTAAATAACTTTTCCTTATCCACTTTCTCACTCATGATTTTATAGACCTCTCTCATATCCCCCCTTAGTCTCCTCTTTTCCAAGCTGCAAAGTCCTAGCCTCTTTAATCTCTCCTCATATGGGACCCA